AAATAAATACTAACTTTAACTGTTAATTACTTTTTAACGAGCGACAGTTAAAACCTGTTTGAGGTTACTCAAGATCATGATCTTGACAACATATGTCAAGGTGAGGGTCATTGAAGTTTAGGTCCCCTAATCGGCATTTTTACCCGCTATTTTACAAAACAAATATTTATTGCATACAGGAATACAAAAATATACAAATTTTGCAAGCAGAATATATTATATGTATAGATAATAACAAGTTAGATTCGTAACGTTTGAAATTTTTTAATATTAACAAAACAATATCCAATTAAATATAAATATTGATAGATATCTTATACAATAAAAATATATTAAAAATATAAAGAAAACATCAATAGTAACACAGACTCTTTATTAAACGATATCATAACTTAGTGTTAATTAAAAAAATTTGTGACTAATCAAGTTAAGTATAAATAAAAAAGTATATTTGCGAAACAAATATCTAAAAACTTTTATATGTATATTAACATTATTTAAGTTCCGACATAACTGAAACCTTTTTTTTAATTTCTTTGAATTATTTTATTATCAGTTTTCTAAAGTCTATTCTACATTGTGTTCTTTGTTTTCCGTTTCTTGGTTTTTGCGCCCTGCCCCTCTTCCCTCTTTGCAACTATTTTATCGACAATTATACAATATTTCTTGCTACGTGCTTCTTGTTTCTTTCGAAGTTTGTTAACTTTTATCGGGCGATATAAAACAAAAAACCCGATAAGAAGCAAAGAGACAAGATATAAAAAATAGCAAAAAAAGCAAGAAAGCCATAAAATATATATCTATTCTTGAATATCATCTTTTTGCGGCTATTTAAAAATCTTTAAATTTTTATTCTCCCTTCCTCCCACCCTTTGGAATCAAAAAGATAAAATCCAAGTTCGATTCTGCTTCGTTACCCCCACATTTTTCATTTTCTGCATCATTATTCACCAACATGTGAGAAATTTTCTTTCGAACGTAAGATTTAATTTTCTCCGCTTCTATATCTTTTTTTTTGCTATGAGAGAAATGATTTTCTGTTGTTCGTTTCTTTTTTCGCGGCGTTTCCTGAGAATTTGAATTAGATATTGATGGAATGGGAGATTCAATAGTTTCTTCTAATGAGCCGGGTTCAACGTCACCAAAACATACAAAGAACTTAAAAAATATTCTTCGCAATTCTCACTAATTACATAAAACTGTACTGAAAAAAATTTATTACATTAAAAAATATTTGTTTAAATATTTATGAAATGTAAACATACATTTATCTGATAAAAGAATCATTAATTTGATTTAATTTAATGTAATTTTTTAATTTTGAGTATATATTTATTTAGTTTAAGTAAATATTATTATGTAGGATTATTCAAACAATTATTTTTAAAATTTTTATTAAATTTTTTTTAATGAGACAGAATTATTAAATGTAACAATACTCGATATCTTTTTCTCAAGTTTATAAACGCGCTCTTTACAGATTTATATAAATAATTATCGATTTCTATCAATTCACATAAGAGAAAACTTTTATATCTGAACTCACCATTATCTTATAAGAGTTGAAGATAATTTGTGTTTATATTTTGTGTTTGTTTAATATTGATGTTGATCTATTGTACAATAAAGCGTCGCCACATATTCTACAAGCTGCCTTTGTCTCATCTTCCGATGGAATGGCATACATCTTTACGCAACTTTTTTAACAAAATATGATTAATGGCACTAAATTCTGAATACTCCAGGAAAGTGCGATCGTTGATAGTAAAGATTTAATATTAATGCGTGAAAATGGCATTTTATTAAGAAAAAAACAAAAAAACTACGTGTATCATCGAATAACGTAAATAATACGAGTACTCCGGATTAATACGGACACCCAGATAATGTGACTAATACAGGTACGCGAGTAGTACCCGCATGTTTCGGATAATGAGTACCTGGATATCCGGGTATCATTAACATTAATATGTATATACACACGTGTGTGCGTGCACGTGCGTGCGTGCGTGCGGGTGTGTGTGTGTGTGTGTGCGCGCGTGTGTGTGTGTGTACACGTATGTATAATTGTTAAAAGTTCAATAGTGCACGCGAAACGCGCGTCTGTGATGTTCTAGTATTAATAAAATTTCGAAAAAATTTTCCTCTCGGTGCTACATCACGAAAACCTTTAAAAATATCTTTGTTCTTGCTATTTGTCAAAATTGTGATGATAGACAAGATTGACATGATAGACAAAGTTGGAAAATGAATTTATGTTCAGCAAAAATAAACATATATTAAAAATAGCTCAAACTGTTCAAACAAATTTTTTCACAAAGTAATGTAAATAAATCGGTTGCGAAATTGTTTCATGTTTAATATTAAGTATAGTCAAATGTGTAATTTTGCGGTAAAATATAATAAAAAATTCTCTCCATGTACATGTATATTCTTACCTCTTCTAGCACTTTTTCATCCGATGCTATTATAATATCATAAGTGCCACTGTTAAATTGTGAAATCGCTCTACATCTTGAAGTTGCTGGTAACTCGGAATTTAAAACACAAGTTGGAATGCCAAACTGCTCTAAGAACAATTTCAATTTATAGCATCTATCCACAGTATGTACAAAAATTATAGATTTGCCCCTGAATGAAAAATAAAAACACATAATATTTTTGCAATGATTCGTAAATATTATTTTCTATTCAAAAATATTATATACTCGTACTTTAGGATATGTACAGTATACAATATTTACTAAACTTATCTATATGTAAGATACCTAATTAAATGTAATTTTAATAAAGCATATAAAATGGCAGCTTTATCATTTTCTTCTGCAGCCAAAGTATAGTGAGCCAATTGTGTAGGAGGAGCTAATGGTGGCTCTTCTAGCTTTAAAATTGCAGGATTGTGAAGAATTAATTTTTTTAAACTTTGAACATCTTCAGACAATGTAGCAGATGCTAAAACTGCTTGATATGCCATTGGTAGATAAGCTAATACAGCTTTTAAATCCTTTTCGTATCCAAATGAAAACAGCTGTAATAATCAATGTTATAATTATGTATTAAATGAATCTGACTAAATTTAATTTGTAATGTTTGTAACTTCTATACTACATACCAAATCAGCTTCATCGATTATTAATGTATCGAGACTATGTTTCAGCATTAAATTTTTTGCTTTTAAATGCTGTAGCAATCGACCTGGTGTAACCACAACAATATCTGGCATATCTCTCAGTAAAAATTTTTGCGCATTTAAATCCGTTTGTAAACTAAGATCAACTGTTCTAACTTCCCTACAGCATTTTGTCGTTAGGCTCACGATAACATCATGAATTTGCCTGCACAGTTCCTTACTAGGTGCGATGATTAGGCCCTTGATCTCCTGTTTCTCTTGTATCCGTTTGTTCATCAATATTTTCTGAATAAGCGGTACTACAAAGGCGGCAGTTTTACCCGAACCTGTACGAGCCTTGATTAAGAGATCCTTTCCTTCCAGTAACAAAGGTATCACTTTGTCTTGTATTAATGTAGGTTCCGTCCAACCTAGTTTCGTGATAGCCTATATAATTTAATTATTATATTTAACAAAATTAAAGGACTCTTATTATACAAAATAAATAACAATAAATAAAGGGCAAAGTAAAAATCAGCACGTTTCGTTTTTAAAAAATAGTCATCTAATTAAAAGAATAAACTACAAATAAAGAAAAATAAAATCGAAGAAAGTAATAAAAATAAAACTTGTAACCGAAACTTGTAACGGAATTTTTATTTATTTCTTATCTTTTATTCTTTATGTATCTTCTATTTTTATTTTTATTACTTTCTTCGATTTTATTTTTCTTTATTTGTAGTTTATTCTTTTAATTAGATGACTATTTTTTAAAAACGAAACGTGCTGATTTTTACTTTTGCCCTTTATTTATTGTTATTTATTAATTAATATAATTTTTTAATTTATATTTCTCAGATTATTCTTATACTTGTTGCTTTATACATTTAAAAAATTTTAAGAACTTGCTATTATGACATATTTTGATATTTTTATTCATTGATTATGAACTTAACTTTTGAATTCGTCACGGTTTAACCGTTTAAGTAGATACCAGAGATAATTGACGAAATAATGCAAGAAATAAGCGTTCAAATAAGTTCTACAATAGCTTAATTTCCTTAACCCTCAATTACATGTTTCGTTTTAGAATCTTAGAGTCATATACATGTCTGGACCCAAGTCACCCATGACATTTTTGACTGGCTCCGTAATTATCATAAATCTCAATAGAAAATATTTTTCTTTAATGAAATACCAGAATGTATAGAATCGAGATATCAAAACATAAAAAGGTTTTGATAATAATGAAAAAAGTTATGCCAAACAATATTAAAGAACAATTTGTGAAAAAAGTGCAATAATCAGTTTTCTTCAAAAAATCTTATCCTTATGATAAAAAAAGATATAAATAAAAATAATTAAAGCAGTTACATGAACAGATGCATTGAACAGTAAAAATTACTAGCTTTATCCAGGATTGATCAAAATCATTTTTTTTTTCAAAACATTCAGTTTTTTTTTATTTAAAATGTGTTTTTATGTTTTATATATTTTAGCTGTTTTAAACAGTTTTAGAAAAAATCATGTTTAAAATAAAAAAAAAACGTTTTATAATATAAAATGTATATAAAACATGTATAACATATATTTATTAACAACGAATGACAGGATCGAAAATTTTCAAACTAAACACATTGAAATCAGCGCCTTATCGGTCACAATAAGATGTTGAACTACTGACTTAATATACATTCAATAAATATATTTATTATATTTTATATTAAAGTCTGTATTCATAATCCATTCTCTTAATCTCAAGATCGTCTCAAATAATGATATCAAGCATACACTACATACGCACATATATGTGTATGTATGTGTATTGTATATACTATAGATACGCAAATATCTGTATATGTTTCATATGTCTATAATATCTATATGAAAGAAATAAATTTTATTATATTACATACTCAGATTAAAATTATTTAATAGTTTAATCAAATTTAATATTTCACAAATTTATAAATATAGTAGAGAAGTATTATGGCTAGCATAGATATTGTGACTCCTCTTTATATCTTCGCTGTTATGTAGCAAATCCTAAGGATTATTTATAAAATTATTTGTTAAATAGTTCGCCATTATATGATTCTAATAATGCTATTATGACAATGCTCAATAGCACTTATTATAACGCATTTTAAAGTATTTTGAAACGTTTCTGAGATACATTTTAGCACTTAATAACACCTACTTCCTCATTTTTCTTAAACTTGAGCGTATTATCACATGAATATGTGTATTTGAGTAGTGTTGTTTGCTATTTAACATTTTTAACTGTATATTTTGAGTTATGCAAATTTAATCAATAGCATGACATTTCGCTAATGTGCTCCTTTATGTGTATTGATTATTCACGGCCTTTTTTTTAAGATTTTTATATCAAAATAATTATTCCTTGAACTAATTGTAGTTCTAATATTAATCTATAGTTTACGTTATTAGATTTTTAGTGCCGAGGTGCCTATATGTACATAAAGTTATATGTATATATATATATATTGTATATATATATATATATATATATGTATATGTATATTTGCATACATGCATACATTTTGCAATACTCTACTTTTTTGTTAATTTTGTAATCAAACTGCTGTTTTCTAAAAACTAACTTTTTATGATTATTTTTATGGAAGACCATTATCATCCATGTTTCTCTTTGATTCGCCATTATGCAATGTCGCCACATTTTTATTAATAGTGTCCTAACAAATATTTTTTACATGTAAGTGGATATAATAGAAAATTCAGACAAATGTTTTTAATAATTCTCTAATTTTCGTTTCTTTTGAATGACTGCACAGCAAATCTGACAATCTGATGAGCGATGTGATTCTACGTAGTGACGCAATGCATATGACTTCGGTTTTACTTTATGTAAGTTTTATATTATTATTGTATAATGTAATAATTTTGATAATTATTGAGCTATTCATTATATAGCTAATTTGGCATTTGGATAAAGAAGAACGAATTAATTTGTCAGGAATCATCAACTTGGAATTTGTGTTAATTATATAATTTCAATTTATATTTTATATTGATAGGGACTGAAATTGAAGGATTTAAGCGTATATATTTTATTTGTTACATTCACATGAAAAATAAAGAATTTTTGTGCATCTGAATAGCTGATGTAGGCTCTGATGAGTTTTTTACATTTTTCACCAATAGTGTCCTAAGTAATAAATGTTTCGTAATTTTGTGTTCAGAATTCAACAACATTTTAACAAAATGTAATTATCAAGTTTTAAACTTAAATATTCATTATTAACCAAGTAAACCAATTATCATGTAAAATGTAACTGGGATGCCTTCTCCTCTACTAAATAATATTATATTAAAAACACACAAAGAAAACATTTTAAACATTTGTTTTAAATTGTTTAAAAAAAAAGCATGTTTAATCTGATGTTTAAAATATGTTTTAAATATTTGTTTAAAAAAAAAGTTTTAAACAAAACAACCATATAATTGGATGTTGAAATTTTTTGCAGATAAAAGTAACATCACGGTAGCATTAGAAAAAGATAATTATAAATATAGACTGAAAGAAGACTAGAACTACAAGATACAAATATTGTACATATAAAGTTATTGTTAAAAATCCTATTAAAAAACTCATAACTTCTTTGATAATTTGCTAACAAGATAGAAGAAAAACAACTGCATCAATAATTCAATTTATAAATAATTACATTGCATTGATGGGTTACTTCCGAGAGCTTATAGAGTACCAAAAATATACAAAACCCGACAGTCCTCTTAGAATTATCATTTCTTCGATAGACAGTCCGTCTTTAGCCGGGTTCGTATCATGTATCACAATGTCACACAATATTATATAAACAAAAGCAGAGAATCATATAAAAAAACAGCTTTCAATTAGTTGATAAACTAAAAGAAATAATAATTGAGGACGATTACAAATTAATATCATTAGACATAATATTGCTCTTTGCAAATGTCTCTATAGAATTAGCTATGAATTCTGTTAACGACAATTGGGAATTTATTTCGAATAAATGCGGTCTGCCGAAAGATGAACTTTTGACAGTAGTCAGATTTATTCTTGACTCCACGTTTTTTATTTTTAACAACACTATACGAGGTCTGTTCAAAAAGTATCGCGAATTTTGTGTTTATTTTTTGTGTAGGTAATATTCCTTATTGACCGTTCCGATTGGCCAATACTATTTTCTTCACTTCATCAATGTTTTCGTCTGTTGTTGACGTGCTCGGGCGTCCGGCACGCTCTTCGTCGTTCACATCTTCTCGGCCCTCTGAGAACATTTTGTACCACCGATAAACGTTGCTTCGGTCCAAGGTAGCTTCACCATATGCCACAGTCAACGTCCGCGCACTTAATTTTGTTTTTCACACAAAATTTGATACAGATTCTTTGATCCATTTTTTGGAATAGGCAAAAATCGAAGACGAGCCAAAACACGTGCAAACAAAGCAGCTGTCAAAAATTAACTGAACATTCAAAATGGCCGAACTTGTCGGCATAAGTGAGAGACATGAGTACCAACATAACGCCACAAAAAAATCGAAAATCGAATATACGTAACCCGCGGAAATTCAAAATTCGCGATACTTTTTGAACAGACCTCGTATATAAACAGAGCTTCGGCATATCCAAGCTTGGGCTCTCCGATATCACTCATCATTGCAAATCTGGTATTGCAGAGATTAGAACATAATGCATTATTGTCATTTAACAACCAGCTACCGTTCTTTTATCGATATTAGACGATTTATACATCGATTTATGCACCCCAACATCTCAAATTCTTTTCTACAATGTTTTAATTCGTTTCATCCTCGTCTTCAGTTCACGTTAAAAGTTAGAGATGATTCGTTACGTTTTTTAGATGTCATTACCATAAAAAGAGAAAAATTTTTAAATTTTGATTGACATCATAAGCAAACTTTTTCGAACAGATATTTAAAAGATTATTCTAACTATCCGATCTCTAAAAAAAAAAAGGCACCATCATAAGTTTAATAGACAAAGCAATATTATCGGATATAGAATATTATACAAAAAATTTAGAACTTATTATCAACATCTTAATTGAGAACAATTATTCACTAAAATTTATATTCGGCACCATTAACAAAAGAATTTTAAGTCTTTTGCAACGAGAAACTGAAATATTAAGATCTTCTAAGATTGAAAATTCAGATAACCAAACCTTATGGTTCAGTCTCGTTCATTTCTTCAATTACAGAAAAATTCAACACAATTTACACAATTTACAAAATTCAACAATTAGCACGGACACCAAAGTTTCTTTCTACAGTTCCAACAAATTACATAAATTCATAAAAGTCCAAAAGAATTCTTTCCTCCACTCATTTAAGAGTAATGTAATCTATAAAATCTTTGCAGACTGCAATGTAACGATTTTCATATTATTTAAGACTTTTTTCAATACGTAGAGTATTGTAAAAAGTCGATAATTGCAATAATTATAAATATTGTCACATAAAATTTCTATATATTACAATAATTATTTATTTTTTTCAATTATTAAGATATTGTAAAAATTCATTACTTTTTTCAATTGTTCGATTTATCGTAAAAATATATTTAATTAAATATTAATACTTTTTAAGTATTTTTTTGAACAATTTTAAGAGGATGCTAGAATATCCTGTTTTAAGTGTGATAATTTTCATTTACTCGTTTCTCTTAATTGCACTTACAGATTGAAAAGTCCTTCTGCAATTAAAGTATCGATAACAACACTCATCAGCAACAATTTAATACAAAAAACGAAAGAAAATTAAAAATTATGGCTTTTCACCGGTTTCCGCAGTCGATTCGTCACAATATGTGCTCCATATGAGAATTTCAAACCTTGCACGTTTAAAATAAGTAGCTGGCGCCCTACAAAAAAAACCTCAAAAAACAATACAAAAAAAATACTATGCTTGTAGAAATGAGTTAAGAGCTTTAGTATAAGAGAACAGAGTCTACAAAAATTTTATTTGCTACAAATAAAATTGATATAGTCATGACACCGAGCACTATTTTAATTCCTCGATATTGAAACAGCGCTGTTATCAAATGTGCCTCGCTGGATCACTGAAGCGATCAGAATTATCGACCTATTCAGGTCGTAACAAGCTTCTTAGGTTCTAGTTAACAATTTTCCTACAGAAAAATGTAATGATTAGAGATGAAATGTAATAATTAAAGCTGAAATGAGATTATGAAATTAATTAGATTGAAAATGTAATAAGAGAAACGCAATGATTAACTTATTGGAAAATTTTCCAAAATTAAAGTAAATCTTATATTTGTGGAACCTAATACATACATGTTTTCATCCCTGAGCTAAGATAGTAATGTAGGAAACGAAATAAAAATGTCAATAATTATCGATCCAATTTCCTGTATGATCAGTTTCCTGTATTAAGGAGTTACGCCACCCTGAAATTTTCAAAAAATGGATTTTGTTTTTTTTGCTTGTTTTTTTTGCTTGTTTTGTGTTTTTTGTTGTTTATTTTGAAGCCTGAAATGTCAGGAACATTTTAAGATTGGACCGGTAAAAATATTTCAAATATAGAGAAAGTTATGCGCGTTATGCGAGACAAGGCTCGCATAACTATCGCCGATATCCAAGAAGCCACAAAAAATGCCCGAAAACTAAGAAGAGCTGCTCAAAAAGAGTCAGCGGACATTACTGCCGCCATTGAAGGAGTCGTGTATGGCCCTGGAATTGCGGACTAAAAAGGTAAAGCAAAAAAAAATCGATTTTTAAGGTATACAATTTTATTTTATTTTCCGTTTTACTCGAAACTGTATTTTTTGAAACGGTGTCACGATTATCTCGGAAACTATCCAACCGATTAATTTGAAATTTATATGGTATCTTC